GGAAGCAACTGGGGTGTGTCCGGGGGTGTAGGAAGGGCTAACTGGGTGTGGGTAGGGGGAGTACACTGGTGAGTACGGCGCACGCGAGCTGGGGGAGCGCGGGCCACTGGAAGGCGTGGAAGCTGCCGAAAGGCGGAGCCCCCAAGACGGTGGCTGTAGTCATGGGCCAGGCGACGAAGCGCAGTCCAGGAGAGGTCCTGGTACTCGATCTGGAGAGTGGGCCTGGCCACGGTGAAGTGGTGTGGACGAGGGCCAGCTCCGTGTATACCTCCACGGGGGTAAAGGTACACAGAGAGCTCACAGTGAGGGGGAACACGGTCCACGGAGTACCCCGTGTACTCGGGACACGAGAAGCCAAGGAAACGGGCGAGGTCACGAAGCTAAGCGACGTGGTGACCCTCACCAAAACCGTGGGAGCTGAAGCTGGCGCTCACTGCCATCTACAATTTTGAAAAAGGGAGAAAGGATCAGTAACCATTTTTAGAAACAAACTATTGAAAATAAAGAAAACAAAAGAAACCTTAGCTTTTCGCAAGTAGTTTGGAACTTAGTATCCTTAGGGTCGTCCTAGGCGTCGGGTTTCGTCCTAGGGCCAAGCTTGTGCTCTGATACCATCTCTTGTCACGCCCCGAACTAGTACCGATCGGAACTAGCCCGTGACGCTCCAAATTAACCTGTTAACCGATACCAGTCCCAGGAAATAGTGCTGGTATCACAGGAAGACAGAATATCACAGCAACAGAGGTCTCTTTATTATAGAGTAGAGGTACAGTCATGTTGGGCTGCGGACAGATCCCGAGCTCACAACTGCATTACAAAAGGGAAACGGAAGCCAGGGCTTAGACCAAACATCACAGGCGCGACTTGGGAACTAGGCCGAAACCCTAAAACTCAACGTAGCCGGCTTGCTCCTGGAAGAACTCCTCATCAGCCGGATCCGCTTCATCTTCTTCAGCAACTGGGGGGGAATTATTTATATAGAGCAAGGGTGAGTACGGGAGTACTCAGCAAGCCAAGGGAATTAAGTGTTTAATGCAGGCTTCAAGGGAAGGCTGTTGTTTTTGCAATTGATTTTATTTGAACTCTTTTCTGAAAACAACTAAGTGAGTGCTTCTCAAACGACTCGGATGAGACAGAGCGTCTCGTCCGGTCGGAGTATGTATCAGTCTTTAGAATTGAAACAAGGTTGGCACCCGGCCAACAGCTTTTCAAACGGCCACCCAAGAAGGCGGCCCAAGTGCGCGCGCGCGGGAGGAAAGGAGAGAGAGGGCCGGTGGACCGGGCTCACCGTGCGCGGTCCCGGGTGGGACCCGCTTGTCAGCGGCTCGGCTCACCGTGCGGAGGGAGCACGCGGTGCGGCGCTAGGGTGGGGAAGGGACGCGGTGCATGCGCGCGGTTCGCGGTGGACGCGGATGCGGCGGGCCCACGCGCAGCCTCACGGCTCGCGGTGGAACGCGCGCACGGGGAGGGACTGACCGGGGTCGGCTCGACCCGGTCTAGGCTGAGCTGGCGCCGACGTGGCGCCTACGTGGCTGCCACGCGGGCCGGCGGGAGGTAGACGACGACGCCGGCCGGAACGGACGGCGGTCGACAGCGGCGAGCGACGGAGCAAACCATGGCGATACAGGCAAAAGCGAGTACACCGGGTGGTTGCACGTGACGAGGGGAGACGAGCCAACGGCTCGGATTTGCCGGGGGTTGCTCGACGGCGGCGGATTGCGGCGGCGGTAACCGGCGGCGGGAGAAGGGGAAAACGGCGACGAGGTCACGGGGGGCTAATTCCTGGCGGCGAGAGCATCTACGCGGCTACGGGAATCCGATGCTAGCGTCGGATTGGGCGGAGCTACGCCGTGCGAGGCCGACGACGAGCGGGTGCTACGGAGCACGGGCGGCAACGGCGGCGAGCACACGGCGAGCGACGGCAACGGTCGGGACGGCGCCGGCTAACTACGGGGAGGCTACTCGAGCTACTACCGAAAGCTAAGGGGGGGAGATGGAGCGAGGAGGAAGAACGGAGGGAGGCACTACCGTGCGGGACGGGGCGCAGTGACGAGAGGCCGACGGCGCGGGAGTAATCTCTCCGGCCTCAGGCCGGGGAAGAGGAAGGAGAGGGCGCGCCCGGAGTCCCCTTCCGCGTCCTCGAACGCACCGGCTCTCCGACACGCGCAACGACGAACGGCGACGGCGAACAGAGCTCGGGGGCGGCGGCAATGGCGCGGAGGCGATGGGAGGAGAAGAGAGGGAGGGCGCCCGGGGCTTTTAAGGGCGGCAACGTCGGTTTGGGAACCGACTTTGGGCGGTCAAGGCGCGAGCTGGCGCTCGGCGCTCGCGTCCAAATCGGCGGCAGGGCGGAGGGAGGAGGATGACGCTGGCGGTGACGGAAAAAGGGGAAAAGAGGGAGAGAAAAGGGGGCTTGCCTCCTTGCCGCTTTTGGAAAAGGAGGAGGGGAGCGGGGGCGTCGCGGCAGAGGGAGGAGGGAGGCTCTGCCTCCGTCCCTTGGAGACTAGCGCGGGAGTGGCGGGGCCGAGGCGGTGACGACGGCGATGACGGCGGGGCGGTGTGGAGCGGAGTGGCGACACGGGCGACAGGCGCGGGCAGGCGTGGCAGAGGGTGACGGCGGCGGCGACCAGGCGGTCGGCCACCACGGCACGCGCGCGCGGGTTGCAACGGGAGGCGCGGCGGTTTGAGTGGCGCGGCTCGGGCACGCGCGCTGGCTGCGGGGCCGAGCGGCTGCGCGCCTGCAGGCGCGGCAGGGCAACGGGGCCGGGCGGCGCAGACGGCGCAGGCGCGACGCGGGCGACGACCACGCGGGCGCGCGCGCGAACAACGACGCGCGGGGCCGATTCCGCGGGCGGGGAGCTCGCCAGGGATGGAGGCGGGGAGAAGGAGATCGAGGGAAAGGGAGGGCACTCGGCGCGGGCGGCTCACGCGCACGCGCGCGGGCAGAGCGGAGGTAGAGAGGGAGAGAGCGGGGGCGCGTCGGGGAAGAGCGAGAGAGTGAGGGAGCCGGGAGGGAGGGGGAGATGGGCCGAGAGGGATTCGGCCCATCGAACCCGGGGGAGGCAAACTAGACTTTTGCGGAGGGATTTGATTTGGAAGGATTTGGATTCGGAAATGAACTTGACGATAGATCGGGGATTGAGATATTGAGATGGCACGGACACTAGACAACAAGCAAAGAAACAAATTTCGCAATTAGGGTTTTTAGGAGATAATTTTCCCGCTAGGCGCCACGACGGAACAGGCGCTACAATAGCTTGAGCTCTAGAGGAAGCACAGCTAGGGTTTCCCAGGAGCTCAAGATCTCTTGTAAGAACTCCACTATAATTCCTCGCACAGGAGTAGGTTGTTACGCTTCCCAGCGGCCCGAACCTGTATAATCCCTCATCTTCCACACATATTCGCAAGCGATCTAGTAGCCAGACCCTAAGCGAAGATACGCTCTTGATCATCGCGCCTTATCCCCCGGCCGAACTCACAAAGGGGGGGTCTCACGACCTCCCGCTAGAGAGGATCACTCCTCGACACCCTTGTTTCATATTATAAGTCGTTTAATTTTTTTACTAGTCAAACTTTGTTAGATTTGACCAAATTTATAAACAAAATTTAGTAACACTTAAAATATTAAATTAGTTTCATTAAATCTAACATTGAATATATTTTGATAATATGTATGATTTGTGTTGAAAATACTGCTATATTTTTCTATAAATTTGGTCAAAGTTAAAGAAGTTTGACTTGAAAAAGTCAAATGATTTATAATATGAAATCGAGGTAGTAATATGTTTAACTACACATGTGTTGCATGCAATGATTTCCATAATATGTACAAACTTGAAAAGGACTATTTGGAGTGGGAAGGATTGGGCCAGTTGTTAGTCGGGATCAGGGTTTCCCAAACCGCCGGGGACGGGGTTACCGCGCCCCGGCGGTAAGCACGGTTACCGCGCAGTTACCGCGGTAACCGTGAAAAACCGTTCAAAATTTATCAAAAATTCAAATTATTTTTTAAATTTATTTAAATTTAAGGAGGTTACCGCGGTATTTATATTACTGTATCCCGCGGTAAGCCTGGTAACCGTGGTAACCACGCGGTTACCGGCTGTAAGGTGAACCCTGGCTGGGATATCCTTATCTCATGAGGAGGATATGATCCTATGGCCCCTGGAAAAAAACAGAAGCTATTCTACAAAATCTTTGTATGATATGCTCTCTTTTCATTGTGTTAGGGACCTTAGAGGGATGAAAAAAAAAACACAAATATTAGGAAAATACCTAATATTAAATAAATAGAAAGGGTGAGACTTCGAACACTGGCCGGCTAGCCCACCATCTTGTGGAGCTAGCTAAAAGATCCCTTGGCGTTTCTCTAACCTTAGAGGGATGGACATATGGAAATCGCCAATTTCACTGAAAGTGAATCACTTTGTGTGTCTTGCTTGCTTAGATAGAATTCAAACTAAAAAGAACTAGGAAGGCTCTGAGAGATGTGTTGTATGTAATGAGGTGGAAACTGTTGATCACATAATCTTTGCTTATCCTATTAATCTCAATTTCAAATTATTGTCCTAGTTTACCGACCGTTTATGATAATCGAATTTTACAAACGAACATATTATTCACTTGTCAGCATGGACATAGTCCTCGAATAGGTGTTTTCGACTAAGTTGGCGAGCCAGCGGGAGGCAGTGAAGCACAGATAAAGCAAACATATATAAGTGCTCTCTTATACAGCCATGTCATCCTACCCTGAATCATTTTTCTCAAAAATTTTGTTATCTCAGCTTTGTATCTCCTTTAATAGACAAATTCTCAATTGGTCAGTAGGGGAACGAAAGAATGCACGGCTAGCTTCTTTGATAATTCAGTATTCAACAAGAAATTCTAGAATCATATATATTCTTTTTTTTTCAATTCGTGTTTATCGAGATTTATATCATAGCGCAATGTCACCAGGGTAAACCATGAGATTTAATTTCTTGAACACATCGATCATTTATTAGCAACTATGGTTGGAAATTTACAAATAGACTTCAATAATTGTGATCTCCTTACGTTAGGCTGCTTTTTTTGTTTTTCTAGTGTTCTATTCTTTTAGATTTACACTACGTTCATGAAAACTACTATATAATAATTGGCTGTAACTCTTTTGAGTAAAGACCGAGATATTATATTCCATTATCTTAAAAAAAAATTAGCAACTACGAGAAGAGACACACACCAATATATATCACTTGTCAGCGAGGACATAGTCCTCGAAATAGAAGGTCTTCTCGATGAAGCCGGCGAGCCAGCGGGAGGCGGCGAAGCACAGCACCGCCGCAGCCACGACGGCGGCTCTCTGAACACCCGACGTGACCACCGTCCCCTTGCCGGCGGCGAGGAACCCGACGACGGCGACCGAAGCCACCTGCAGGGCGACCTCCAGAGCTCTCATCCACTTCAGTGCAGCGCTGCAGCTCGTGCACTGCATGACATGCGACCAGTACCTGTTCATATCTATTTTAGATTCAAGAAATTTTACGGTCCTTAAAAAGTATCTCCAGGTACAAGTACAACCCTTTAGATTAACACTGAATTCTCCTATGGAAATTCTATATGTTTTAGGTCGATCAGTGTGACTGTGTGAAGATCAGCAGACTAGCTTGTTAATTTACCTCTCGTAGACCTCAACTCTGGTAGAAGCTGGTGGCAGCTGATTAACCATTGGGGTTAACCAGCCAACCTGATTGTTACAGTACTTCTTGAACCAGTTTCTGAAGGCGATGATCAAGTTGTCAGATGATGTGGGCACGTAGCATGCTTTATGCCAGTTATCAAGGCCAAACGCGGCGTAATTACGCTCCTGCAGAAGCATATATATTGTTCAGGTCAAGTAAGATCTGAGATAATCGATTGCATCCATGCAACCACATACATAGCTCGAATCATTCAGTTTGAGCTGAAAAGAGAATTAACCGGTCACCTCAATATGAAGGACAGACGAGTCTGAATCCAGGACTTGGTTCGTCTTAATATGCAACCACCAACGTGGTATCATCTTGTCGAACCAGCCATCAAGATTATACCCGTTCGCCCAGATGACCCTGCATCTTCCCGGAGACACCGGGATGCAGAAGAACACTGTCGTGACCTCAGGCTGCTTCTTGTTGTTGGTGTTGTTGTTGTCCTGATCAACCTGCAGCTAGCACAAAGTGTAATCTTTTCAACATGATTCTTTGAGCTTGTAACAGTGGCTGCAATATGGCGAAGTGATCAGAGGCAGATACCACTGGCTTAGCACGAAATGGCGAGCCTATGAGAGTAACCGGCGCGATGAACTTGAAGTAGCCCCAGTTCTCCTCTGGGTTGGAATGGAACCCTGCGATGTTGAGCTCCTCTATATTCATCTTGATCGGGAGGCCACCTTCCTGGTCAAATTCAACTGTGGAGAGGAGATCAAATGTTTCAGAATCAGTAACGCAGCTTAGCATTGAGAAATTGAGATTAACACGGCATTGGCTCAATTAACAGATCGTGTCAACGCAGATGATGAGGAACATATCTGCCTATATCTTCCTCCCTGGGGACATGAGGGAATTGGCCCCTGTGCGCGTAGGGAACGTGAGCAGGGTCCATGAAATTCTCCACCAACAACTCGTATCTGCATTGGTTCGATTCGGATTTCAGAATCCATGGCACATACATACATACATACATACATACATACATACATACATACATACATACATACATACATACATACATATACACACACACACACACACACACACACACATACACACACATACATCGAGGCATCGAGCTGCTTGTGAATAGCTTGTAAATAATTTCTGTACCCGTATAAGAGGTCTCTGACGCCGGAGTTGATGACGGACGACGGGTCGTCGAGCTCCCGGATGTACGGCGGCCGCTTCCTCTGCAGGATCTCCTTGTACTCCGGCTCCGATCTCGGGTAGAACCACAGGATGTTGTTCTGCACCACGCTCGGGTACGACGCCACGCACGCCTTGCTATTCTTGTGCACCTGCCATTAGTTGATCCAAGAACTCGGTTAATTAATCTTGAGAAAATGTTGATGTTTTTTTAAAAAAATTTGTTTTACAGGAGGGCCTAGGGCGGGGGCCTGGGGGATGAACTGGCAGGAGCCGTGGCCATCGAAGCACCAGCCATGGTAGGCGCACTGGAGGCAGCCCTTGCCGTCGACGCGTCCCTCGGAGAGCGGCGCGAGGCGGTGCGGGCACGCGTCGTCCACCACGCGCCACTCGCCGCCGCCGCCGTCGAACCACACGACGACGCTGATGCCCATCACCATCTTCCCGTGCGGCTTGCGCTTGTCGAGGTCGCGCACCGGAGCCACCGGGTACCACTGGTCCAGCCAGTCGAACCGCTCCTCCCCTGCCGCCGGCGTCTCCTTCTCATCCACGGCTCGTGGGAGCGGCGCCTCGGCCGCCACTGCCGACACCGGCATTGACAGCCGCCGCCGCCGCGCGTCGGTGGGGCTGATCCACTGCCGGCGCCATGGTGGTATTCTTGGTGTGCTCGGGTTGGTTACAGTGTCGCGGAAGGGAAGCGAAAGGCGGGTGAGCGAGAGCAGGTGGAGGGAGACAGGAGCCATGGATGATTCGGAGTGTGGAGTGTTTAGTTAATACACGTGAGTAGGAAAACAGATCCCTGACTCTGTGTCTGTGCAGTGTGCAGTCGTGCCACTGACATGTAGGCCCCATCTAAGATCCATATATCAGTGATACAACTATACACTGTATAATTTCAGGGGAGTCTCATCCACGGAGTAGTGACTAAGCAAGACATAGACCGGAAACATAAACGAATGCACTGTATATTTTTTCGGGAAACGGAAATGGGGACCTACAGCCCATATTGCTCTACACCTGCTACAATGGTTAACACTGGCGTAGGGTCTATATATTTTTTTTATAATACTATTTCTGAAGTAGACAAACAACTTTTGAAAGCGTGCTAAACATCCCACCGTAGCAAATTTTTTAAAAGTTGTGATAGCAAAAAGCTTTTCTTACTAAATTCTTACTAACGCTGATAAGTCATGTTATGAATGCATCTATATTTTTTATAATTTCTATATATCTAAATCAAACGGTTGAGATAATTGTTAGTACAAATTTAGTAAGAAAAAATTATAACAGTGCTCTTTAAGATACTAGCGTACTACTCCTTTTCAAAATAGTTATCTTTTTATTCAAAATTTATTCTAAAATATTTGTTACTACTTAATCCATTTATCACCTCTCATTCAAATTTCCCTCTATTTTACCCTTAACTGCCACTCTAATCCCAATCATGTATCATTTAATGAAGGATAGTATGTCTTTTATTTAAATAAAAAAATTACCAAGAATAACAAGTATTTCAGATGGAGGGCTAGTTAGTTCTCTTAAAATAATTGTAGATTTTAAGCCGTGTTTGATGTCTAACTCGGAATCTGGCTGAGGCAGGAGCTGTTGCCTCAACCACAATGTTATTGTACCTTACGTAACGTGCTTTTCTTTCGTTTTTAGTAAAAACCGGCCAGTGTTTCTTCCGCTAACCCAAGAAAAAAAGTTAATTTAATTATAATTTTCATGTCATTGAGTGCATTAAATTTACGTATTTTTTTACTCATATAATGGCTATGTGCATACGTGTCCTTAAATTTCAAGACTATTACCCTATAAGGCAGTAGTAAGGAAAACAAAAACAAAACACTACCACCACACACACTCACAACAACTACACACGACCAAGAAAAGAGCTAACACCACATCGGTCACAGCTAGACCCAACAAAGGAGCTATAGCTAAATCGCCCAAAATCAATCCCTAAAAAATGAGTACCAAGCCAGCAAGGTGACAACGGACGAAAAGGTAGTAGAGGGAGATAGCGAGAGAGAAGAAATATCCCTTTCCCTCGCTCGAACCCGTCGACTCGTTGCCACTTACCAGATTCGCACAAACTGTCTGAGCACGGTTTTGGCAAAAGAGAGTCTCCTAGACGACATCTCCATGGAGAAAAGCGATGAAGAGCACCACCGCTATCCATCGAGGTCTCTAGGAGATCCAAGGCAAGGTTCTCACCCGGCAACCCCACTAAGGAGGGAGAGGGATGTCTCAACAATGCCCCAAAGAGGATAAACGACGCCCAAAGCGTCGTAGTTGTCAGCCTCGTAAAACTGGGCTAGGCTTACACCTGTTGCCTATCCCTGTTGACCTGCAATTGTAGTTCCATTGCTCCACCACCAACCACCCAACATTGTTTTCAATTATGATCTATCTATCCTGCCAAGTTCTACGCGAGAACAACAATAGCAGCCTATCCTCTATCTTAAAATGTTGCAATCTAGAATGAGATTTGACACATCCTAAAACAACGAATCTGGACAAAATTCTATCCAGATTCGTTGTCCTAGGATGGATTAAATAAAATCTCATTCTAAATTACAATATTTGGGATGGAGGTATTAATATCCAACATGTTTGTACGATTATATTGACACGTACTATATGCACACATTTTATTGGATTTCAATGACACGATATATAATCCAAATTTACATATAATTATGAATTGACCCATGTGACATTTCTCTAGGATTATTGAGATTGTGTCCTCACCTTACTTGACGTGTAACATTGGATCTATTTCGTTTTATTTCCATATCTCAAACTCTTTTATTGCCAAGTATTCTAACTCTACAAATTCATAATTTTGAAGCTGTGATTGCATCCATTTATAACATAATGTTTCAACTAATTGTTTCGTTCTAATATTTGAGGAAATATAAAATTTTAAGAACATTATAATCTAAGTTTTAAATCCAGGACCTTAGGAGCTAAAAGTGGGGGCATTCAATGTTATGACATCCTTAACCGTGAATAACATACAATTTACCATTCTAACCCATATTCAATAATTTAAATGGTCCCACTCGGTGACGGAGCCAAAATGGTTTTTAAGCTCAGACAAACTTTAATATAAATTGTATTTGCTATAAAAGTTTTATCATTAATTTACTCATTAATATTAAAATTTAATGGAGTTTTGGTCGGTGAGTCCTGGCAGCCGTCCGAGCTAACCGGACGATGTCTCCGCCACTAGTCCCACTGTCCCACAAAACTAATCAGATCGCTGCCACGCGTCGGTGCTGATCTACCACCGACTCCATGGCCCATGGCACTAGTCTGATTGAATGTGCTCGATCGGCGTGGTGTCATTGTGCAATTTGTGCCCTATTTTTTGTGCATGGTGGAGTAACAGTCACCGCCAGAAACCTTCAAAAGCGTGTACAGAAGCACCCTGGGTACTGTACCCACCCCACCACATCGTGAGCTTTTCAAAAGTTGTGATAGCCGACTTATCCTTGCGAACTTCCAAAACAGATACATAGTTGGTAAATTTTAATTGTATTTTTTATGCCATTTAGTTCATTGTTTATATAATTTTGCGTTGATGACTTATTTTGATGACCATCCGAATATGAGCAATTTTACCATTCAACATTTAGTACTTCGAGGTACCAAATTTTACATTAGATAGTACTTTGAGAACTAAAAAATTGTGGTACCTCGAGGTACCAAATGTTGAATGATAAAATTGCTCATCGGAATATATATAATTTAATGAACTGACACTTGGATATCATAATATATCATTTTTATACGTCACTAGCAAAAATGTTTATGTGTTAAAACAGGTGAAGATAATTTTCACGATTGATAAATTTTTTTGTCAAACAATAGCAAAACAAATTTAGAAATCATATATAACATTGAATCCGGTTCCGCTCCCTTCATGCATCATCACACGAAGAATAGCTTATATACACATTTCCAATAGCCTCACAAATTGATCGGATGGTTATTCCATAAGTTGACACATGTGGATTTTATTATACCTCATGGTCCAAAGATTAAAATTTTGAGTATTCAATTAGTAAAAGTTTTTTCCCGTAAAATTTTTTTACTGTAGATGGAAGGCATTTGCAAAGTACCAAACTTAATGCATACACCTTAACAATGATAAATTCAATAGGAAAATAATTGTGAGGAGAGAAATTTGGAAGAGAAAAAAGAGAAAAGAAGGAGATGGAGAGAATCATGATTATTGAGGGAAAAGAAAAGGAGAAAAAGAAAATGAAAAAAGAGAGAAAAAAAAAAGAAGCCAATCGAGGAAGGGTGTACGCAGCGCCGTCTAGTGGAGGCGTGCGGGATGGTGTGGGCCATTTGGGTTGGGCTAGGAGGGAGAGAGAATGAACTGGGATATGGGTGCATAATAATTATTCTAGACTCACGTCAAATTGGATACGTGTGACATATAACTAACTCATCAAACACAGACGACGTATCAAAGCGCCGAAGAAAATATTTTCAATTTTTGTAATATTAAAGATAGACATAGAGATAAATATTGTACTCTTTGACCGTGTCATATGGAGCCTTTTTCATATTAACTAGCTGGGTGGCCCGCGCAATTGCGCGGCTAGCACCGATATAAAATTATCTATTTTTTAATATAGTTTTACTTAGAATTTTGTTAAATAGATATCTCGTTGTCTTAAGACTTTGAAAAACCAAACCTTATCATCCTTGTGTTTCTAATTTTATATTTTTTAAAAGTTATGTCAGTTGCTACTCCTAAATATTTTGTCACCCCTCGTTTATTTGCTTCCTCGATCTACCACTACTTCTATTTGTTCTCACTAAAACCTCTAAAAATTAGACCTTATAGTTTTTAGAGTTTATTGTCTCGTTTGGGTTTTGTTTTTATAATTTTCAGAAGTCTCGTCAAATGTTGCCACCATACTACTCTACGGTCAATCCACTGCCTCTTCTCTTTATTTTTATTGGGATTTTAAAAATCAAACGTAATTATCATTTAGGTTCTTTTTTTACTTTCTAGAAGTTCCACCAAACTGTCAGCGACTTTACCACTGTACTCATGTACAGCTCACCCGCTGCCCCCTCTTTATTGTCTTTGAGATTTTAAAATTCGAACATGATTATCATTAGGGTTTTTTTTTTTTACTTTTTAGAAGTCCCGCCAACCGTTGTGACCATGCTGCTTAATGACCCGTCCATCGTCCCTCCTTTTAATCATCATTGGGATTCTATTTGGGGGTTTTGTTTATAGTTTTTAGATATTCCATCAACCGCCACCACTCTAATCCTTTACATTCATGTTGCTTCTCCTATATTTGTTGTCATTTGTCATCTTTTTATAATTTTTAGAAGTCATGTCAAACCCTATCACCATACTTCTCTTCGGCCTGTCCACTACCTCTTCTTTTTATTGTCATTAGGATTTTAAAAATCGAACATAATTATTATTTTGGTTCATATTTTACTTTCTATAAGTCCTGCCAACCGCCATGACCGGGCTGCTTAACGGCCCATCCGTCGTCCCTCCTTTTAATCGTCATTGGGATTCTATTTAAGGTTTTGTTAATAGTTTTTAGATGTCCTATCAACCGTCACCATTCTACTTCTTTATAAACCTGTTGCTTCTCCCCCTCTTTATTATTATTTGTCATCATTTGTGTTCTAGATGGAGTTTTTTTTAGAAGTCCATATTTTTCATTCTGATATTTTTATTTATAAATTATATTTCTACTTGAACTCTTATAATTATTTTTATATTTACAGAATTTATTTTTTTGTTATTTCAAATTTTAGTTAATCTCGTCATATGTTCTAAATGGTCTCTTATTTCAATAGTTTTTACTTTTTATGACGAATTTAAGTTATTTATAAATTGTATTCCTAGTTGAACTATTATTTTTATTTTTCTATTTTTGGAATTTATTTTAATTTTTATTTAGAATTTTAGTTAATATCGTATTATGTCTTATATGAATTATTTTTTTATGTTTTTTAATTTTCAATTTTATAGTTGTTTCATCCTACTCAAACTATCTTTTTTATTTATCTAATTTCAGATTTTATTTTATTTTTATTTTAAATTTTAGTTAATATCGTATTGAATTCTTATATGGACTCTTCTTTTAATATTTCTTATTTTTAATTCTGTATTCCTACATGGACTCTTCTTTTTAAGATTTTATTTTATTTTTATTCTGAATTTTAATTAATCTCGTATTGGATTCTTATACGGACTTTTCTTTCAATATTGCTTATTTGTAATTCCGAATTTCAGCTATTTTTAAATTGTATTTCTACTTGGACTCTTCTTTTCTTTTTCTCCGATTAATGTGGGAATTTCTAGCCCCCGCAGCAAACGTGGTGCCTTCTTTTCGAGCTGTTTTAATAATATAATATAATAGATAGATAGATAGATAGATAGATAGATAGATAGATAGATAGATAGATAGATAGATAGATAGATAGATACTTGTTTTTCTTTTGTAAGCTAGCATATATAGGGATCGAACTCCACTCCCAGATTTTCTTAGACACTGTCACTTGTAAGCATGGACGTAGTCCTGGAAGTAGAAGCTCTTCTCAATGAAGCTCGCGAGCCAGCGGGAGGCGGCGAAGCACAGCACGGCGGTAGACACGGCGGCGGCTCGCCGGACAACCGACGGTGCTAGACTCCCCTTGGCGACGGCGAGGAATCCGACGATGGCGACCGACGCCACCTGCAGGGCGACCTCCAGCGCCTTCATCTTCTTCAGTGCAGCGCTGCAGCTCGTGCACTGCATGACATGCGACCTGTACCTGTTGATGGCACCAGAGAATTAATTGATCAGCATCACAGCAGCCCACAAATTCTGAATGAAAATTTTCGATGAAGCTGATCTTGTAACGTGTTTCGGGTCAGTGTGAAGATCAACTTATCACCTCTCCAAGACCTGATCTTTGGTAGGAGTTGGTGGCAGCTGATTAGCCATTGGGGTTGCCCAGCCGATCTGATGCTTACAGTACTTTCTGAACCAGTTTCTGAAGGTGATGACCATGTTGTCAGATGATGTGGGCACATAACAAGCTTTGTGCCAGTTATCAAGGCCAACCGTGGCGAAGTTGCGCTCCTAGAGAATGAAAATCTTCAGGTCAAAACATATATATGGGCATAGTAAGTCAGCAGGCATAATAGCTCACATCGCCTTCTGTGTGTCTTAGAATAGAAACCGGATATGTAATCCATTTCCGTTATCTAAAAATGTACTCTTTTAAAAAAAGAGAAATTTTATAGTTCTTAAGAAGATATCATGAGGTACCACTTTTTCTATTATAAATTTGGTACCTCATAGTAACTAGGTACCAAGAGATACCAAATTTTATACTAAATTTTTTTACATCATGGTACCTTCTTATGAACCGTAAAATTGCTCTTAAAAAAATCTTGTGATGAATTGTGAATCTGCCACCACCCTCACCATTAACTTCCTGATTTTTGAAGTTCAAAAAAAAAAGAGTGTGGGACCAAATGGTCTACCTATTAGCTGAAAGATACATGAATAGAAAAATAGATAAGATATGCAGAATGAGATGGAAAAACGGATTGATGATAATGTTATTTTTTTTTAAAAAAAAGTAAAAAATCTGTCACAATGCATGGACAATATGCTAGTTTTATCATGAATCATTCAGCTTGAGCTAAACAAATAGGTCACCTCAATATGGAGGAGGTAGGAATCTGAATCCAAGACGATGTTCGTCACAATGTGGTACAACCACCGTGGTATTATATTGTCGAGCCACGCATCAACATTCCGCGGGAACGCCCATATCAACCTGCTTCTTCCCGGAGCCACCGGGACGCACAAGAACACCGTCATCGCCTCAGGTTGCTTCTTCTTCTTTTTCTCCTTGCCCTGATCAATCTACACAAAATCTAACCATTTAATACGATTATTTGATCTTCAAGCCTTGAACTAGGGACAGATGTGCCATGGGGGTGGTGAGGGCTCAAGCCCCCACTACCCGTATTGATACTTTAGGAGCCTCCACTAAATCCCCTTAATTTTACATCCTGATACTTTTTCAATGATGATAAAATTACGAACATCTTTCCCATCCTTGAGGAGGTACCATGAGGTACCAATATAATCTAACCGTTGATTTAGAAGGGGTATGATGGGGCTAAATAAATTTAGGGTGGCGCTAATCCCTCACCCTCTTGATGGCGTTTTGCTTGCTTGCTCGTGGTGGCTCAAAGGGACCCAACCATGTCCGCCGCTGGCGGCGGCAAGAGCTGCATGGGAGGAGGCGAGGAGGCGATTGCCGGGCTCCTCGACAGCGGCAGCGGCGTCTGGCGAGTACACGCTCGTGACGACGAGGGCGACAAGATACTCGTCGGCGACGTGCCATGAATGAATGAATCTCTCGTCTTCTCCAAATCTTTGCCACATCTCCGTGCCGGCGTCGCATCGAGTCCGCTGCTGCCGCCGTCGCGTCGCATCGAGTCCGCCGCGGCCGCCGTCACGTCGCATCGAGTCCGCCGCGGCCGCCGTCACGTCGCATCGAGTCCGCCACTGCCGCCGCCACGTCGCATCGAGTCCGCCATCGAGTCCGCCGTGGCCGCCGTCGCGTCGCGTCGCATCGAGTCCGCAGCGGCAGCCATCGCGTCGAGCTTCCGACGAATCGCCGCCGTAACCATCGTCGAGCTCCCGATGAATGGCCGCTGCAACCATCGCCGGCCTTACCCTCTTCCCCTCTCTTCCCTTTGCCGCATCTCCGTGCCGACGTCGCATCAAGTTCGCCGCGGCCACCGTCACATCGAGCTTCCGACGAATCACCGCCGCAACCATCGCCGTGGCCGCCGTCGCCGATGAATCGTCGCCGCAACCATCATCAAGCTCCCGACGTTGCAGCTATCCTGGTCCTCCCGCCACCCATCGCCGATCTGGGCCGCCGCCGGGTTTCCGATCTAGGGTTCGGGACCTATATGCCCCTGCTCCCGCCGCCATCTCTCGCCGCCGGTTAGTTCAACGCTGCTCCTGCCCTGTGAGATGCAGAGACGGAGGAGGAAGAGATGCCGCGTGCGTGCGTGACGCGGAATAAAGACGAAAGTACAAAACTGCCCTCCCACCCACGGTACCGTTTCAATGGGTAGGTGCGGTACCTCATGGTACCGACGATTTTTGACCGTAGGATGTTGCCAGATCAACGGTCACGATTTGGTACTGCACAACCTTAAAGACAGTAAAAAATCTCTAAAATTACCCAAAACTTCATCTAGTTTATTTAGCCTCCTCTAGTATTTCTTCTTTGCTCCGTAATGGCAAAGTAAGAGGGTGCTAGGGGGCAGATACCTGTGGTTCTTTGGTGCGAAAGGGCTTGCCATAGAGCGTGCAGGGCGCATCAAACTTCATGTAGCATACGTCATCCTCCTGTACCGACAGGAAGCCGTCGATCTTTGCCTGCTCCGTCCTAATCTTGACCGGGTAGCCTCCTTCCTGATCGGACTCAACTGTGGAGAGGAGATGAACAGTTGAACACTATCAGTGGTAGGTGCAGCCGGAACATTACAAAATGGCACTAGCTCAGTAGCATGTTCATGCGTGCAGTAGACTGAAGAATTAAAACTGATCATGTCATGATAGATGATGAACATATCTGCCTGGATCTTCTTTGTTCTGTATGGGCATCAGCCCCTTGTGCGCGTATGGGACATGAGCAGGGTCCATAAGATTCTCCACCAACACGTCGTACCTACATTACAATGGAGCTAGCTAAGCAAGGTAAAATATGTGGTGGAAATGCAGTGGAAACCTGAAAGTAATAGTTGGTTCGAAAAATAAACGTATGAGATTTGTCCACGTCATCACGGATAAAAATTTTACTCGCAGATTCACTCATGAGTTAAAATTTAACTCCTAGTAAAATTTTAAGATTTTAACTCATGTAGCACGTTTTAACTTAGACGTCGAATTTTAACTCATGGTGACATAGATGAATTCCAGATGTCCATTTTTCGGTCCAACGGTAGTTTTCAAATTTTCACTATATATAGGCTTTGCAACTACATATTTTCCCCTAAGCGAATGATCGAGCTGCCATGCTAATGGGGGAGCAAGAAATTAAGATTTAGGAGAAATGCTTGGAGATTTCTGTACCCGTAGAAGAGGTCCCTGACGCCGAAGACTGTGTTGAAGGACGGGTCATCGAGGTCTGGGAAGTACGGCGGCCGCTTCCTCTGCAGGATCTCCTTGTACTCCGGCTCCGACCTCGGGTAGAACCACAGGATGTTGTTCTGCACCACGCTCGGGTACGACGCCACGCACGCCTTGCTGTTCTTGTGCACCTGCCATTAATTGATCCAAGAACTCGGTTAATCTTCAGAAAATGTTGCTGTTTTTTTAAATTTTGTTTTGATTTGTTTTACAGGAGGGCCGAGGGCGGGGGCCTGGGGGATGAACTGGCAGGAGCCGTGGCCATCGAAGCACCAGCCATGGTAGGCGCACTGGAGGCGGCCCTTGCCGTCGACGCGCCCCTCCGACAGCGGCGCGAGGCGGTGCGGGCACGCGTCGTCCACCACGCGCCACTCGCCGCCGCCGCCGCCGTCGAACCACGCGACGACGCGGAGGCCCATCACCATCTTCCCGTGCGGCTTGCGCGGGTCGAGGTCGCACACCGGAGCCACGGGATACCACTGGTCCAGCCACTCGAACCGCCCCTCCTCGCCGCCGCCCACGGCCGGGGCGGCCTCCTCCTCCTCCTCGGCGCGCGCGTGTGGCGGCGGCGTCTCGGCCGCCACGGCCGACGCCGGCATTGATAGCCGTCGCCGCCGCTCGCCGCTGGTGTGTTTCCACTGTTGGCGCCATGGAGGAGGTAGCCTGACCGTGCTCAGCTTGACGCCGGCGTCGCGGAGCAGGAGAGGAGGGCGAGCGCGGGAGAGCAGGGGAAGGGAGACCGGAGCCATGGCGCTTCCGAGGGGGAGCTTAAGCGCGGGACATCTTTTTTAAAGTGGTTACGCAGACCATGGCCGAATGAAACGTGCTACAGTGGGTAATATTGTTTCGTAGGGTCCATAAGAGGAATCATGCTATCTTTTATTTCTGTATGTATACCTATTTTTTAGCTATCCATGTGTTGCGTGCAAATGATTTCTATAATAACTAGATTACAAACTTAAAATAGTACAATTCTTTTTGGAAAACGCAAACATATTTTAGATTGTGTTGGCAAACTGAGTTGGGAACTAATAGATACCTTCCGCATGCAAAACATAGTGACTCATTAGCGTATGATTAATAAAATATTAGCTATTTTTCTAGGACAACTTGTCAACGAACAAAACGATCTCTTTGGACCTGCACTAGAGTAAAGCAAAACGATCTCTTTGGACCTTCATTATTTATATATCATCCAAATGGTTATGAACAACTAGATAGATTAATATGGAATAAATCATTTTTCACAACACATGCAGGTTCAAATTTAACTTCTACAAGTTGCAACGAAAAATACAAATTTAAACGTAGACATAGTTTAATTTGTCTGTTTTTGCAACTCGTAGAGTTGATTTTTAACTTGCATATGCGTCCAGTGATATATCATATATTAATCTATCTTGTTATTTTTCTTTATTTTTTCCATAACCAATTAGATGACATAGACTAGCTAAAAAAAATGTCGAGTGTTTTTTGAGGGGAAAACTTTCAAATCTAACTATAGTATATAATTTCACTAGAACTATACTATAATAATAATAACTTATATATATGTATTAAAATAATATATATAACTTTATATCTAATTTATATAGAGATAACAATGTAGTTATAATGTAGTTACACTGTAGTTACAATGTAATTATAATGTAATTATAGTGTAACTACGATGTAACTAGCATGTAATTGGAATATAACTTAGATGTAACTTGAACAAATCTACCATAAACATGCGATGATGGGACTAGCTTGTAAAAAAAGGGTTTAGATCCAATAGTAAAATATCTCAGCACAAATCTTAGAGCGGAATTGACGGCCAAAATTTTTTTTTGACAGTCATCTAGCAGTTCCGTATAAATAACGGGGAGAGACTTTTCGAAAACGAGACTACGCTCAGTCGTTTTCATTCTAGGCCTCCCCTAAGCCCACTCAACATCCAGCGTCTTCGTTTCTCCGACACGTGTGCTGCCGAAGACACAAAGGCGATTTAGATTTTTTTTTATAAGAAAACATACATCAGCAATGAAAAGGAAGAGTGCATAATAACAAACTGGTCAGACTAAATTAGAGTTCAATCAAAAGAAGATCGAATAAAATCAAACGTCAGACTAAATTAGAGTTCAATCAAGAGAAGATCGAATAAAACCAAACGTTTGCAGGTAAGTTCTCTCAATCAAAAGCATCACCCATTTCACATATCTATGTTAAATCATGAAAGAAACCAAAGCATCGGGTCAACAAAAACGGTTCTAAATTTTTAGTTCAGTGGTTATCTGCAACTTTCATGTCTTATTTTACTTCCAATAATGCATCGAAATGTGAAAAGAAAAAACAATTTTAGTGGGAACACTGATACAGACGCTCCATTCCCCATGCAAACAAATATAGAGTTTTACATTTTTTTTTAGATAATGGGCAGCGTCCGGCCTCTACATCATAAGATCATAAGGTGAATACACACGGCCAGATTTAGAGTTTTACATATGTGGTTTTTTTTTTCTTTTTCGTTGGACGCCGATCGATCGACCAAATTTATTTTCCACAGCATTAAAACTCACAGAGTTTACTGGGCACATCGATCACTTGTAAGCATGGACATAGTCCTGGAAGTAGAAGCTTTTCTCGATGAAGTTGGCGAGCCAGCGGGAGGCAGCGAAGCACAGCGCGGCCGCAGCCACGACGGCGGCTCTCTGAACCGCCGACGTGACCACCGTCGTCCCCTTGCCGGCGGCGAGGAACCCGACGACGGCGACCGACGCCACCTGCAGTGCGACCTCCATCGCCCTCATCCACTTCAGTGCAGCGCTGCAGCTGGTGCACTGCATGACATGTGACCAGTACCTGTTGATGGCATCGCAAGAATCCAATTTTGATGGTCACTGAATTCTCTTGTGTTAATTTTGTGTTTCAGATCAGTGTAAAGATCACTAGATCAGCAGATTTCTATACTACCTCTCCATGAGCTGATCTTTGGTAGGAGTTGTTGGCAGCTGATTAACCATTGGAGTTGCCCAGCCAACCTGATGCTTGCAGTACTTTCTGAACCAGTTTCTGAAGGTGATGATCATGTTGTCAGATAAAGTGGGAACATAGCAAGCTTTCTGCCATTTATCAACGCCAACCGCCGCGAAATTGCGCTCCTGGAGAAGGATTAATTCGTCAGGTCAAGACTGAACATATCACATATGGGCATATAATCAAGGCAGTTTGATCTGAAGAAATGGGTCACCTCGATATGGAGGAGGTACAAATCCGAATCCAAAACGGTGTTCGTCACCATGTGGTGAAGCCACCGTGGTATGAACTTGTCAGGCCAGGCGCTGACGCTCTGTGGAAACACCCATATCACCCTGCTCCTTCCAGGAGCCACAGGGATGCACAAGAACACCAGCATCCCCTGAGGCTGCTGCTGCTGCTTCTCCTGATCAAAATCTGAACTTTTTAGACGGTTTTTTTAGCCTGAATAATGCAACGGATCGAGAGGGTGGCTGATGCTGATACGTGCCAGTGTCTCGAGGGGCAACTCTGACCGGTTGATCGTGCACGGCGCGATGAACCTGAAGTGGCCCCAATTCTCCCCCTGGATTGACAGGAACCCGTCGATGTTGGCCTCCTCTATCTTCATCTTGACCGGGCCGCCGCGTTCCTGATCAAACTCAACTGTGGAGAGGAGATGAATGTTCTGAATCAGTGACGACGCATATGAGCATTGGAGAATGGCACTAGATGACTAAACTGAAGAAAATTTGGGTAGAAAATTGATTGATCATGTGATGAGATAGAACATATCTGCCTGGATCTTCCTTGTCTTGGAACTGAGGGAAGAGCCCCTTGTGTGCGTAGGGGACGTGAGCAGGGTCCATGAGGTTCTCCACCAACATGTCGTACCTGCATTGCAATGGAGCCACGGCATAGTATATCAAGCTGCATGCCTATGTGTCCGTTTCGGAGAAGAATGGCTTGAGCATTTCTGTACCCGTAGGGGAAGTCCCTGACGCCGAAGACGGTGTTGAAGGACGGATCATCGAGATCTGGGAAGTATGGCGGCCGCTTCCTCTGCAGCACGTCGCGGTACTCTGGCTCCGTTCTCGGGTAGAACCACAGGATGTTGTTCTGTACCACGCTCGGGTACGACGCCACGCACGCCTTGCTGTTCTTGTGCACCTGCCATTCATCCAACAACTCGATAATCCTGAGAAATTTTGCTTTGAGATCGACGCGGGAATGTAGATTAGATCGACGAGAGTAGTGGGGCTCTGCCTTCACCCTCCCAATATAGGAGCAGTGTTTAGCATCCGTTATCTATTTTTTTTCTCTCTTTTTTTTCCCTTTCCCTTAGCAATGGGTCTTTCGGGGCGGTTGCGTGTAACTAAAACTCTGCTTCTTCTAATATATTGACATGTAATTCTTTTTATGTGTTCGTGAAAACAAAGTTTATCGTTAAGAGAATGTAGCAAAGGAGAGTACGGGAGGGCCAAGGGCAGGAGCTTGGGGGATGAACTGGCAGGAGCCATGTCCATCGAAGCACCAGCCATGGTAGGCGCACTGGAGGCGGCCCTTGCCGTCGACGCGTCCCTCCGACAGCGGCGCGAGGCGGTGCGGGCACGCGTCGTCCACCACGCGCCACTCGCCGCCGCCGTCGAACCACGCGACGACGCGGAGGCCCAGCACCATCTTCCCGTGCGGCTTGCGCGGGTCGAGGTCGCACACCGGAGCCACGGGATACCACTGGTCCAGCCAGTCAAACCGCTCCTCCCCTGCCGCCGGCGCCCGCACCTCCTCGGCCACCGGCGGCGTCTCGGTCTCGGTCTCGGCCGCCGATACGGCCGAGACCGACGTCGGCAGCCGCAGCGCCACGCCACGGCCGATCCACGGCCGACGCGGTGGCGCCGCTAGGCTAGCTATTCTCTGACTGGCGGCGCCATCGACACGGAGGGGAAGCGAAGCAGGCCGCGCGCCGGAGCGGAGGAGGAGGGAGAGGGGAGCCATGGCTTTCTTTCACGTTGGCAACACAGTGTGCGCGTGTGTGCCAGTGTGCATGGCTGTTTGGACTTTGGATGTGGCGCGCGATGTTAAATATTTGAAGCTCCAGGTGGTTCTTGTAGCTGTAGCCTGTAGGTTGAGGTGGATCTCGCAACAAATTGTACAGTCTACAGTACCATGTATAGTAAGAATCTGCCTGCCCATCCACATCATCATCCAACTATCCTATCCGTCGGATGTCGGGTTGTATGTGGCATTTTTTTTTCTTGGACCATATGATGCTTTTCTTCACGTGCTAGCTAGTAGGAGTGAAAATGTAGGAACAGGGTTTACACTTTCCTAAATAACCGAAAATTAGTGAATTTCGGTACTTTCGAAACTTTTTGTATGAAATTATTTAAAAATCTAACAATTTTTTTACTGAATTTGAATTAATTTTGCAAGTTAAAAAAGGTAAAATTCAAAAAAATTGGCTAGGATAGTTGCTTGCCGGAGGGGGTCCGAAATTTTAATCCCTTAATTTGTATAGGAAAACAATCTCACCGTGACCATACTTTTTTCTCACAAGGGTAAAATAAAAGGCAAAGGTGATATCGAAACTATAGTGAACGAAACTATTCGAGGGGGAAGCACATCGATATTGATCAGAAACTGACACTTCATGAGCAAAGAGATAATAAGGGCCCTTTCTCCTTATTACTTTCATGTATTAATAAGAAGAGAAGAGGTATAACAATCAAGGAAGATCGTTGTGTTGTATGTTGTCAAACTTTGGAAGATGGCAGGCATCTTTCTTTGAAGGGTAGAGGAATAATAGTGTGCTACTGTGTTGGGAATTTGCAAATGGAGGATATTGGATCAAATCACCTCTGACCTCTGTTAACAATAAAATAATAGATATTCTAGAAGCTGACAAACAAACAACAGTTAATTACTCCCTCCAATCTTTAGTGTAAAATGATATTGATTTTAGGATATTACGTATGACTATCCATCTTATTTAAAATTTTAGTGTAAATATGAAAAAGTCCCTTCTAAAAAAATATGAAAAAGTATAAATCATGTTAAAGTATTTCAGATGATAAAACAAGTTACAACAAATAATATTTTTAATTAGATAAATGATCAAACGGCTTGTTTAAAAGTTAATGACATCATACCATGAGACACGGTATTGTATTTATGGTTGTAATGTGATAAGAGGAACAGGATATGTGAGTTCAGAGAGAGAAAGAAAGACGGCTACATTGTCCCAATGCTATGTACAAACTATTTTAAACTCTCGAGGGGACGTCCCCTCGTTGTTTACATGTCACTAAAATGGTTATGAAAAAAACTAAAAAAAGTTCTACAACATAGATTAATATGCGATACATCAATCCACAAATATGTAAGGTAAAATTTAACTTTTACACTGATTGTGAACATGTGTTAACTAGTTGTAGTTTGTTTTTTTTTTTTTGCAAAGTGTAGAAGTTCAATTTAAACTTGTATGTTTGTGAAATGATATGCCATATGATAATACATGTTTTCAATTTTTTATTTTTTCTATAACCATTTAAATTACATGCAAACAACGAGTGTACGTCCTCTCGAAAGTTTAAAATCCACTCCTACACTTAAAAAGGCAGTCCTAGCCAACAGTCAAAATGGTCGCTGCAGGAGGGCACCAGCACCAACCTGAAGGCAAATGTCATCATAGGATAGGAAGGATATCTAGTTACCTCTAACCTCTGGTTGTTGGAGAGTCATATAACTCGAAATGGAGCTGGTGAACCGACGAATATTTGGTAGTGTAGCACTGTAGCAAGTCAATGTTCACTGCCAAATTAGGACGGGTTATTTTACTGTCTCCGGTTTTTTTCCCGATTCCGCAAGAACTCCCTTGTCCCCCTATCTTGCTATGGAACCTTTGAGAGGTGATCATGTATCTTTTATATCCTTCTTAATGAAATTGGCAGAGCTCCTATCCTTCCCCCTCAAAAAAAAATATACGTATATGTGATATGGAATAGAGCTCCTGTCCTTCCCCCTCAAAAAAAATATACGCATACGTGATATGGAATTCTCAGGGCCCTTTCTAAATTGATTAGCCGAACGTTAAAAAAAAGTAATTATCATGTGATTAATCGGATATCTATCTATCTATCTATTATATACTAAAAGTTCATTAAACATCTTATAAACACTCCTAAGCCGCCAAGTGGCGCTCTAATAAATTAGATAAATTCTTAGAAATTCTAAGAAAAAAGCAAAACATCTAGCCCTTGGATTTCACTTAAACCGGTGGACCCATTATTTTACACCGTAAGATTAGATTTGTGAGAAAAAAAAGTTAATTCATCTGTGATCCTCCTTGCCTGCTATTCGCTTTGGATCTATAAAAACGTAACACACTCCACGATTCTTACACGTGATGGGGCATCAGTTAATCACAAACCAACGCACTCCTCCAGGTAGCAGGGTTCTGCACGCACCATGAAACGTTGACTAGGTACGTCAATCTCTTTCACCGGCGATCGGCCTGCCCAGCTGCCCTAGATGATCGGCTACAAGGGCAGCCATAACCATGAGTCCGTTGATGTCGACCAGACTCTCGCGTCCCCCAACCTCTACCACTCCGGCAATATTTTATCAATTAATATTTGATCCAAACTGAAATTTGCAAACTATTGTTGCTGTTTTTTTAAAAGAAAATTTCCGTTCCAACTTCCAAGTTTTTTCATGTTTCTGATATGAAACGACATCATGAACTTCCAAATTGTTTCTTTCCATGTTAATGATATGAAACGATCGACATCGTGGTCATTCAGTAACCTAACAAATTTGCACTACTGTATATAAGTAATAAATTGTGACACTTTCTTATTATTACTAATTTTGAAGTTTGCATCTATTTAAGTGGCACCAAATCATAATAACTTACTAATGGTTAATTTTAAAATAAGTTCTCAAGTTGATAAAATATTACTGTTGAGAGTTACAGATGAGCACAATTTTATTTTTATATGTTGTACTTCCCAAACGATAAAATCATGAAAAATTAAAGTTGTAACTCCAAGTAGAGCACATACCTTTTATGAATTATTTTATCATTAGAAAAAAAATCTAAAAATTATAACTCCATGCAAAGATGACTCTAGATGCATTAACTGTTCAAGTCATAACTCTACATGTATAACTTGATATTTACTACTCCCACCATCCTTCCTCCATGCCAGTTTGATCTCATCCAAGTTTTTTATATCTCCCTAAAATAATTAACATATAACAAATGACTTTTCGTTTATTTGTGTAAAGAGTAAATAAATGGGCATCGTTGAATAAGCTCATGCATGCAACTAACCAAAATTACTTTCTATTGGTGTAACCCTAAAAAAAATTCTCTTGGTGTAAACTCCACGAAATATTTACAGCGTGATGCAATCAACACCTTGATTGATGAAAATAATTTTAGAACCATGGAGGTTTTGTTGTTTTTGGTCTCAGCATCCTTTGCTTAGGTGATGATCAAATTGGAATAGAGGGAGTAATTTCTAAGTCAGAAATATTCTGTCTTATTTGTAAGTGACAAATTGCATCAATGTAAACTGGGCTAGCTTGATGCCAAATAAAACACATGTGTTAGTAGAAAATAAACAAATTTAATAAAAAAAATAGTTAGCTCCTAAACATTTTTTTAAAAAAAAACCTTATTTTTAATTCACATTTAGTTTATTAGATATGTTTTCTAAATAGACTAAGTCAACACTATCTTAGATGATGAAGAAAACTATAGGGATGAATTAAATATTATACGGTATAAATCTATCAAATAGATTAAACAATTATTGAATGCGCGGGCTAGCTTCCTTGTTAATTATTAAAAACTTAAAAAATAGATTTATTTGATTTTTTTAAGCAACATGTATATAGAAAAGTTTTTGCATGAAACATATAAAAACATGCTAACAAAAATCAAATAATTAGCCAAGCTGAAATTAACGTAGTTTAGAACGCGCCCGAAATTTGTTTTCTCCATCCATTTGTTTAGCTGCATCCTATGAAATCGTCAGCTAACTCTTAAGATGATCAGTTGTTTATATACAGATGCTATCGATATCAAGCATACTTGGTTGTGTTTTCTATATACATTTTTAAGCTGCTAAATTAGAAGCTAAGGAATTCCCAGCAACAAAGAACTCTCTGATTTCCTGGACGCATCGACGATCACTTGTAAGCATGGACGTAGTCCTGGAAATAGAAGTTCTTCTCGATGAAGTTGGCGAGCCAGCGGGAGGCGGCGAAGCACAGCACGGCCGCAGCCACGACGGCGGATCTCTGCACAACCGACGTGACCACCGTCCCCTTGGCGACGGCGAGGAACCCGACGACGGCGACCGACGCCACCTGCAGGGCGACCTCCAGCGCCTTCATCTTCTTCAGTGCACCGCTGCAGCTCGTGCACTGCATGACGTGCGACCAATACCTGCAGACGGCATCACAAGAATCATTTGAATTCAAAATTCAAAAGAAGAATAATTGAATTCTCTTGTGTTAAGTTTTGTGTTTCAAGTCAGTGTGCAAGAGCAGCAGACTGATGCAGGTAGATTGTTTAGCTGTTTACCTGTCCAAGAGCTGATCTTTGCTAGGAGTTGGTGGCAGCTGATTAGTTATTGGGGTTGCCCAGCCAATCTGATGCTTGCAGTACTTTCTGAACCAGTTTCTGAAGGTGATGATCATGTTGTCAGATGATGTGGGCACATAGCAAGCTTTCTGCCAGTTATCAAGACCAACCGTAGCGAAATTGCGCTCCTGGAGAAGGAATAATAATGCTTCAGGTCTAGAATGGCATAACACTTGGCCTGAATCATTCAGTTTCAGCTGAAGAAATAGTCACCTCAATGTGGAGCAGGTAGATGTCTGAATCCAAGATGGCATTCTGCCCAATGTGGTAGTACCACCGTGGTATGATCTTGTCCATCCAGACGCCGACGTTCCGCGGGAATGCCCAGACCAACCTGCTCCTCCCCGGAGACACCGGGATGCACAAGAACACCAGCATCACTGTGGGTTGCTTCTTCTTCTTCTCCTTGCCCTGATCATCCTGTACAGAATCCAGCAGCACCAACAAGGTAATTGACAATACTGATCTTGTAAGATGGTTCTATGAGCTTGAACAATGCCTGAGATGGAGTCTGAAGTGGCGAGCCGTAGAACGTGCACGGCGCGACGAACTTGAAGAAGCCCCTGTCTAGCATTGACAGGAACCCCTCGACGTTGGTTTCCTCTATCTCCATCTTGAGCGGCCCGCCGCCTTCCTTGTCGAACTCAACTGTGTAGAGGAGATGAATGTTCTGAATCAGTGACGCAGCTAAGCATTGCAATTTGCACTAGACTGAAAGAACAGATTAAATTGGGGAGCAAATTGGAAAAGAAAATTTGATCATGACTAATGACAGATGAGGAACATATCTTCCTGGATCTTCCTTCTTGCGGGTGCGCATCAACCCCTTGTGCGCGTAGGGGACATGAGCAGGGTCCATGAGATTCTCCACCAACACATCGTACCTGCATTGCAAAATTTGCAATGGAGCTAGCCATGATCAACAGCTGCCTGACAATGGTGCAGAAAGAAAGATTTCAGAGAATGGATTTGGGATTTCTGTACCCATAGGGGAGATCCCTGACGCCATAGACGGTGACGAAGGACGGGTCGTCGATCTGCGGGATGTATGGCGGCCGCTTCCTCTGCAGGATCTCCTTGTACTCCGGCTCCGATCTCGGGTAGAACCACAGGATGTTGTTCTGCACCACGCATGGGTATGATGCCACGCACGCCTTGCTGTTCTTGTGCACCTGCCATTGATGCGAAAGCTCGATTAATCTTGATTGATTTGAGATGGAGGAGAGGGGATGAAGAAGAAGAGGAGGAGGAGAGTACCGCGGGGCCGAGGGCGGGGGCCTGGGGGATGAACTGGCAGGCGCCGCGGCCGTCGAAGCACCAGCCATGGTAGACGCACTGGAGGCGGCCCTTGTCGTCGACGCGGCCCTCGGACAGCGGCGCGAGGCGGTGCGGGCACGAGTCGTCGAACACCCGCCACTCGCCGCCGCCGCCGTCGGCGGCGGCGGTGGTGCGGTCGAACCAGGCGACGATGCGGAGGCCCAGCACCGTCTTCCCGTGCGGCGCGCCCGGGTCGAGGTCGCAGACGGGCGCCACCGGGTACCACTGGTCCAGCCAGTCGAACCGCTCCTCCTTACCCGACGCCGACGGCGCGTCCTCCGCCCGCGGCGTCTCGGCCGCCACGGCCGCAACCGACGTCGACAACAGCCGCCTCGCCACGGCGCGGCTCCACGGCAGCCGAGGCGGCGGGACGCGGGCGGCGGCGGCGGCGGCGGCGGCGTCGCGGAGGTGGAGCGCGGGGCGCGCGGGGCGCGCGGCGGGGAGGAGGAGGAGGGAGAGGGCATCCATGGCTACTCGCGTGGTGGGGGAGGGGGGCGCGAGCGGCCCGCAACGAACTTGTGGCGCGCGCGCGCGCGGTTACGTTGGGTGGGGCCCGGCACAAACTTATCGGCGCCGCAGGTGATTAGCTGGACGCTCGCCACTTGGCCAAATTGGAGACGGGAGAGGCCGATGCCGATGCACCGGTTTTACAGGGTACATTTAATTATTTGCCATTTTTAAAATATGCCAATTAATAATTTGCTACTTTTATAACATGTGGTTCCTTATGTGCCTATAACATATGGATTCAGAGCCAAATTCTTTTGAACCACTCGTAAAAGTGGCAAAAAGTTAATTATTTCGTTTTCTAGTATCACTTGTCGAGTCGTCGCCAACGAGCCGCCAGAAACTGTCCGTGCAACTTGTGCCGATTTTTTTATTGAAAGTACAAACAGCAAGGTAGAACCATCACTCTTTGGATGATAAGACAGTTGGTTGGTTTTATCGGCTAAATGCCGGTTAACTAAAGAAGGGATAAATCCCCTTTATCTGTTTCTAATAAAATTGAATATGTGATAGAGTTAATTTTGTGATCGGTAAAACTAATCTCTAAAACTGTATTCGAGATAAACCCTAGAGCCCCTCCAGCGTCTATAAAATAGAAGTTGAACACAAAGGAGAAGGGACGCCAAATTCTCTATCTAAACTTCAAAACCCTAAATTGCCCGACCAACTAGAAAAGGTTTGTGAGGCGATCTCGGTGAAATTTTACATTGGCGCATAAGAAGAAAAGAAACAGAAGAATAAGAGAAGGAAGAAACTAAAGGAGAATAATTAACATCGATGGCATATTATGTGGGTATTGAAGCATAGGTGATTATGTATAAGCTAAATCATTGAGATCGTAAATTTATATTCCAACACAGACATGCTAGATTTTTCATTAACGAATCGGTTCGCGCCAATTCCATTAAGTAGAGCAGGAAAAAAATGTTAGAAAAAAATATCGAAAGGTATATAGGAATGAATGGAAGCTGCCAGTTTCTAGGCACCCGAAAGGTTCAAGTTTTGGCATGATAAAATACTAATAAGGGTGTGTTAGATCCAATTTTACACCCCATCACATCGAACGTTTGAACACATGTATGAAGTATTAAATATATGCTAAAAAAATAACTAATTGCACATATTGCTACTACTTTGCAAGATGACTTTTAAACATAATTGCTCCATGATTTGACAATATGGTGCTACATTAAACATCTGCTAATGACGGATTAATTAGGCTTAAGTCTCGCGGTTTAGTGATGGATACTATAATTAGTTTTTTCGTTAGTGCAGAATACCCTATACGACACCTATATAATACCTGATGTGACACATAAAAACTTTACACCCTGATCTAAATAACCCGTAAGAATGTACTACCTCCGTTTTGTTTTTTAATAGATAACGCCGTTGACTTTTTTTCACATGTTTGACCATTCATCTTATTCAAAAAATTTACGTAATTATAATTTATTTTGTTATGAGTTGTTTTATTACTCATAGTATTTTAAGTATGATTTATATCTTATACATTTGTATAAAATTTTTAAAAAAGACGAATGGTCAAACATGTGAGAAAAAGTTAACGGCGTCGTGTATTAAAAAACGGAGAGAGTATTTTGCTATAGCCGTTTTTACTTATGGAAGAGTGACGACATCTGAGACAGATCGAAGAGCATCGCCATTGTCACGATGGCGACCCAATCACAAACATGGCAGAATTGCAGAGAGTCTAGTAAGGCAGAAGCTGAGGCTGAGCTTACCAAACACAAGCACACGCACACGCACACCACACAGTCTACCTATACCTACTACTACCTGTCATCTTCTCCTTCTTAATCCCAACTAAATGCGCACATAAACGAAGAAGATTTGCACTGATACCCGCGCTGATACAAGCAAGCATCCGGCGATGGCGGCGGCGGCGGCGGCAAGGGGGAGCGTGTGGGAGATCCAGCAGCGGGACGTGGAGGCCGCGGGGCTGGCCGACGCCGACGCGGGCGCCTTCGTCGCGGCGCTTCGCTCCGCCGCCGCCGTTGCGACGGGTGGGCCTGACGCCGCGTGGGAGGCCGTGGCGGCGGGGGTGCTGCGGCCGGAGCACCCGCACGCGCTCCACCAGCTCGTCTACTACTCCGTCTACGCCGGCTGGGATCGCGCCGCCCGGGGCCCGCCGCCGTACTGGTTCCCGTCACAGTAAGTCACCTCGCCGGAGACGACCAGACTGGCAAACTGACAGTGGCTGGTTTCAGTGTATGCAAAGTTCAAGCTTATGTTGATAGCGTCCTAGTACTACTTAATTTCTAGTGTGATATCATCAGTGATAAGATTTCCTTGTGTTAATTTCCACTTGTCATGTCAAGTAACCTATTTGAAGTACAATGATCAGTGCATGATTTCTCTACGTAGTGATTTAGTGTTTGAAATGTGACAGGATTGACACTAAACAAACAAATCTTGGTAGACTGATGGAAGCACATGGTCCTAGGTTGTTAGGATCATCATATAAGGACCCAGTTTCAAGTTTTCACCTCTTCCACAAGTTCTCCGTAGAGCATCAAGAGGTCAGTCGGTTGCTCTAAACTAGTCAGCTCCAGCTAAGCAACCAAACAAGTTTGAAGTCATTTCTTTACAACCATTGGAGTGGCTATATGAATGTTATTTCTTGAATGGACAGTTTAAGTTTCCACAGGCATTTTGATCCTACTCCCAGTCTATCCTTTGTTAGGTCTACTGGTCAATGGTGCTGAAGGAGATCTCAATCAAGTTCCAACAAGAACCAAAGTCAATTCTAGATACATCAGATAAATCAAGGAAAGGGGGAACATGGCTCCAAGGTGCTGTGCTTAATATTGCTGAATGTTGTCTGTTACCTTGGCCTTCCCAAAACAGGACAGATGACAGCACAGCTATTGTTTGGAGGGATGAGGGTCTTGACAATCACCCAGTGAACCGTATGTCACTGAAGGAGCTTCACAATCAAGTGATGTATGTATATGTTATCAGACTAACAGTAAGAATCATGCTAAAGCGTATTAAGCTTTGCCATAACTTATTCTGAATCATCACCATTGTTTTGCTGCTTTTGGTGTTTTCAGTACAGTTGCTACTGCGCTTGATACCATGTTCCAAAAGGGGGATCGAATTGCAATAGACATGCCTATGACATGCAATGCAGTCATCATATATTTGGCTATTGTCCTTGGTGGTTTTGTTGTTGTGTCGATAGCAGACAGTTTTGCACCTCAGGAGATTGGTACACGCATGAGTGTGTCAAAGGCGAAAGCTATTTTTACTCAGGTAGGAAATTAGTGAATCTTTCATGACATAGTCATTAACACTAAAGTAGGGCTTCATCTAAATTTCACGAGATTTCAGGATTTCATAATTAGAGGAGGGAAGAAGGTTCCACTATACAGGTACGAACGGATGATTGATCAGTTCATTTCAGTTTGTCTATTCTGATAGTATAATGCACTTAGCATTTTGTTTTTTTAAAAAAATGCATTTTCTTCATATATTTTTCTAATTTATGACATTTGCTTAGTTTGAAGTTAAGTAGGAGTGTAGGACGTTATCATGTGAACACTGAAAACATTCTCTTTCATTGATTTTAGAATTCAGCTTAGATTTTTCCTGTGAATCTAAAAAATAGGAGTACTTAAGTACCAGATAGTTCATAGTACATTTCAATCAGAAAGACAATTTGCAGAACAGATAAATATTTCATAATAATTCCATTCTTCAGCCGTGTTGTGCAAGGGACTTCATCTAAAGCTGTTGTAATTCCTGCAACTGGAGGCTTTCTTGGGGTTTCACTAAGGAATGGTGATATGTCCTGGAAAGATTTCCTTTCTTGTGCTGCTGGAAGGTATATTATACAGAAATAAATCTTAGATGGCTTTGGATAAGTGTATTGTCTTTCCATTGAAGAAAAAAGGAACATGCAATTGTTTTTTTTTTCTTTACTAATTTCATGATATGAGTGACAATATATGTTGGATTTGCAGGTCGTCCATTTATCCCACAGTTTATCAACCTTCAGACGCTCTAACTAATATACTATTTTCTTCAGGGACAACTGGTATATTAACACTATTTCATTGCTTCCCCTGATTTTAGTATTTCTTTTGTCCACCCCTGATTTTTGTCTGTTTTATTTACTTGTGCAGGAGAACCAAAAGCTATCCCATGGTCACAACTTTCTCCAATAAGATGCACATGTGATACATGGGCGCATTTGGATATCCAGCCACAGGACATATTTTGTTGGCCTACTAATCTTGGATGGGTTATGGGGCCTATACTCTTGTACTCATGCTTTTTAAGTGGTGCAACGTTGGCTTTGTATCATGGGTCACCACTTGGTCGTGGTTTTTGCAAGTTTGTACAGGTACATCTGATGTACTTTGCACCGTCACTTGCTTTGGAATGTTAAAGAAGATTTATATTTTATCATTGCTTCTTGTGTGCACTGTAAACTGTACTAATTATGTAGGATTTGAGACCCTGCTTGGTTGAGCTTCAGGTTATAATCTAAAGCTGATTTTGAATTTTAGAATTTGATTTTAGGATTAATCTTAGGGGTTTCCTTTGTTACTTTTGTCATCTAGCTCTCTTCTCACAATTACTATAACAAGACAAGTAAAAATCCTAACTAAATTATTCTTAAAAATTAAACCTCAAAGTTCCAAATTGCTTTTGATTTTTCTTAAAAATTAAAAATCTGATTATTCTTTGTTTATTCATTCTGATTTCATATTTGGTTATGGCACATCTCTACTGGGTAGTGAGTACTAACAACGTGTTTCACCTCAAAAACTGTTTTTGCTCTCAGATCCTGTTTCTTTGAGCCCCCTTTCCCCCCACAAATCAGGAAGAGTTTTGCCAAATGCTTATGTTTGAAGATAAATATGAACTGAACTTACTTAATCATCATGCTCTGTGAAATATTTTGCAGGATGCTGGTGTCACTATATTAGGAAGTGTACCTAGCTTAGTGAAGTCATGGAAAGCTGGGAATTTTACTGAAGGGCTTCACTGGACCAAAATCAGGTGAGTCATCCTTCCACTATCAGAAGGCTCACAGCTTCATCACAATCAGAAAGGAAGTTAAAAGTAGTATTATAATTGCAGGGTACTCTCCACGACAGGAGAGGCTTCTGATATTGATGATGATCTATGGCTATCTTCGCGTGCCTCTTACAAGCCCATTATTGAATGTTGTGGGGGTACTGAGCTGGCATCGTCATACATTCAAGGCAGTCTTCTGCGTTCGCAAGCTTTTGGAGCTTTTAGTGGTGCATCCATGTCCACTGGGTTTGTCATACTTGATGAACAAGGAACTCCATATGTAAGCATCTCCCCTGAAAGTTATGTATTCTGGCATTATGTTTGAAGCATAACCATTTCAGTTGACTATGATAGCCTGATGATGTACCTTGTGCTGGAGAAGTGGGCCTCTTCCCTTTATATTTTGGCGCTACAGATCGACTTCTCAATGCTGACAACAATAAGGTTTATTTTGATGGAATGCCCATTTACAATGGAAGGGTATGGAGTTATGTACTTCCTTGTCTCCTTTTCTCCAATAAGATTGCTATATAAACAGTCCATTATTCTTTGATGAACCAAATGGATCCATTTGCATACTAAGTTCTAGCCAGAATGACATGAACTCATATGTTGTATTGGTACTGCAGCAACTTCGACGGCATGGAGATATAATCCAAAGGACAGTAGGTGGTTACTATATTGTGCAGGGAAGAGCAGATGACACTATGAATCTTGGAGGAATTAAGGTTGACCCTCCTATTTCAAATGTTTTCAATAGCTTGTTGTCACCCTTGAATTTTATGAAACTAAATAAATACTGCTCGTCTTATAAACAGACAAGTTCCGTGGAAATAGAGCGGATATGTAATAGAGCCGATGAGGCTCTACTAGAAACAGCAGCGGTTAGCATCAAACCTGCTGGTGGGGGACCAGAACAGCTGGCTATCTTGGCTGTGCTAAAAGATAGATCACCACCATGTGATGCAAATGTTCTCAAGAGCAAATTTCAGAGAGCCATCCAAAAGAACTTAAATCCTCTTTTCAAGGTAAGAGTTACTACTTACTCGTTTCTGATGTTAAGGTCAGATAGTGAGATGTGCACACGTGTACCGAGGTCATTGGAATCACTCTTTGTCATCTTGACAGGTGAGCTATGTCAAAATAGTTCCTGAGTTCCCAAGAACAGCTTCAAACAAGCTGCTAAGAAGAGTACTGAGGGATCAGCTGAGCAAAGAACTCTCGAATCGCAGCAAGCTATGACCGACGTGACATATTCAACAAGGACCACAACAACAACAACAATAGTAGACTTTAGTCCAAAGCAAGGTAGAGATGAAGAGCCATACGAACAGTGAGGGTAATTCAAAATCGCTTCAAAAATGCCCTCTTGCTTGTCAAATGGTAATATTGAATTATGAGTGTGTCAAAAAAAAAACAGCCACTTGAATAAAGAGTCATGATTCATTGGGGGCGTATAGAGAACTTCAGGAAACTATTTTTTTCCATGTTAATAAATGTTGTTGAATTGTGAGCATGTTCAATAGGCAACGGCTTGAAAAAGTGACATTTCCCGATGGGAATTTGTAGAGAACTTCAGAATACTCATCGCTGTACTGTATTATGTTCAGCTCATGATAAAGTGGTGGCATGGTGTTTGGATTATTTTGGCACAATTCATCCCCTTTGAAGCTTTCTGTTCCTTTTTTAAAATGTTTCTTTGAGGGGTTTTATGTGCCATTGCTAGGTCAAATGGTTCATCATATCCAGACATCCAGTTAATCGTGTTCCTGAAGTGTAAAGAATGCATCATCTTGAAAATTAAGTCGTAACAATATTTCGGTGGAAGGAGCCGTGCTCACCTAGTCACGTTACAGAACTGCATCCATATTCTGACTTTATGCACACCCTACATAGATTAATTTCTGGTGTTAGACGGCTAAATTGACTAGCGTGAAGCTTAGTTGACAGAATGCAGAGATATGGCCAATATTTCCTGCGTGACAAATATGAAGAAGTCAAGCTAGACATGCAGAACAATTAATTGTATTCCCATTTTTTTTCCATATCATGTGTGCTGAAACAGAACTAAAAACTCCTCCAAAAAAAAAAGAACCGAAAACACCTCCAAGACTCCAAGTCAGCCGGCACATCTATGGGATCACAACCCCCGTTCTTCCTGATCACTAGAATCCAAATACCACCAGAGCAGGTGGAAATTTTGTTGTACAATGTTGAATTTTTTTTCTTTGTTTGATTGGACCATTTTATAATTGATTTTACCAAAATTATAGTTCAGTATTGTATGCTACAGGTTGTCTGGAATGAGAATTAAGCAATATTACATCAGAAAATTAGACATGCTGAGTCCTTCCCTGCAAAAGAAAAAAAAAGTGAGTCAATTTACCGAAATACATTAAGCCTGTCCAGTAGGAGAAAATCCAACTAGGTAGGCAATGACATCAGGTTGTATAACCTTTCTAATCGCCAGCTAATAACCATTATCCTATGCCATTATGCTCCCAAAAGGTCATTAGCATAACAGCAATGTAGTATGTATTAAAAGCGAGAGAAAGATAATTCTCCCAGTAACAGTCATCCATGTCCGGTTTTTTCCACGCAGATATGAGGAGGAAATGAGAATATGGTACTCAAGTCTGAACAGCTAATTGCCCATTAGCGTGTCTTTAGCATGTAATGATATCGAAGTAATTTTAGTGATAAATATAACAAAATTATAACTAAATGAAAGTTCAAATTTATGCGAGCTAAACCTTCGGTGTTTAGGTTTCTTGAGGTGAAAACTATCTTTCCAGGCTAAGTATTAAATTTAATATGAGTGCTTATATTTATGGTTAATTATTTTTTTAAATTGATAAGTGATATACAGTACCTCTTAACAGCGAGGCCATTAATGATTAATCTCAATGTATGCCAAGTCAATTCTACTTTTAAGATTCAACTATATTATACGCGCTTCAATTTGTTTTACTTTTGAAATCAATTTCAAAGTATGCCGAGAAACCCGGGCTAGGCTAGGGGAGGTTAGCCTGCGTTCGTACCATGTTTTCAAAAAAAAAACAAAATTTACTAAAGTCTTTTAAAAAATTGATTTTTATTAGCTATAAACAGAAGTTCTTTGAAAAATAAAAAGGAGTACTCCAGTATGCACAGAGCAGAAGTTTGGAAGCTTCCAAAGTCAAAATCAGGTCATAGAAAATTTTAGAAACCCACGGATCACAACATCACGTGAAAAAAAAAAGAAGAGGAAAAACTAGAAGTTGCCGAGAGCCGCGTGGTGTTCGTCCGGTCTCCGGTCCAGAGCGGGAGGCGGCCGGCAATCCGCGACCTCCACCTCCTCCTCCTCCTCCTCTCGTCACCACCACCACGGCGACCCCGTCCTCCTCGCCCCTCTAAAAGCCTCTCCCTTCCTTTCTCTCTCCCCTTCTCGTGGGATCTTGTATTCTTGCGTCGTCTTGGGACTCTTGTGGTGGTCAAGAACGAGGACGAGAGAGGTCGGAGAGCGAGGCGGCGGCTGTGCCGTTGCGCGTGCGGTGCGGGTGAGGTAGCTAGCGAGCGAGAGGGGAGATGGAGGCGGTGGCGGTTGCGGGCGGTGGCGCGGGGCTGACAAGGTGGCAGGCGGCGGCGCTGTCGGCGGTGGCGGGGTGGGTGTGGGCGGCCTCCTCCTTCGACCTCACGCGGCGGTCGCGCGCGCTGGTGCAGCCGTGGGTCACCCGCCGCGTGCTCGCCGAGACGCCGTCCATCGTCAGATTCCAGGTCCGTTTTTTCTATTTTTTGTTTGCATCGCGCGTCTCCTGATCTCCTCAAGATTGGAGGGAAATTCACTGCATTTGCTGGGATTGTTATATTTTTTGTAGAGATAATCAGGATGTTGAGACGATTTCTTGAGTGAATAGGGAATGGATTTTGATAGCTTTGTGTTATGGAATAGTAATTGCTTCGATTTTTACATATGTTTTTGTCCTTGTAGATTTCTGAATTATTTTTTTTTGGATGTTGAATTATTGCAGAAGGTGCATCACAAGTTGCTGGACAGTTTCTTCTCTGTGCTGTCATGCGTTGTCTCTGTCCCTTTCTACACCGGATTCCTCCCTCTCCTCTTCTGGGTATGCCTTCTTGTCTTACACACATAAAAAATGCATGTTTCTTTTCCTCTGTAATTCTAGCTGGATTAGCTATGAATTGCTCTTACTCTTATGTTTATGTAATTCTAGCTGTATTAGCTGTGAATTGCTCTTGCTCTTCTGTTTATGTAATTCTAGTGGGATTAGCCGTGAATCATTCTTGTTCTTGTGATTATTGTAGAGCGGACACTCCAAGCTGGCTAGGCAGATGACGCTGCTCATGGCATTCTGCGATTACCTTGGCAATTCTGTGAAGGTCACTATCGATTTATCATACAATAGATGAGAGTTGCTGATATTCGATTCGTTTAGCTGTTGACACTCTGGAAGTCTGTGGATACAGGACGCGGTGTCAGCCCCTCGGCCAAGCTCTCCTCCGGTGAGAAGAGTGACAGCTACTGAAGACGAGAAGGAAAATGCCATGGAATATGGATTGCCTTCATCGCACGCTCTTAATACCGTTTGTTTGATGGGGTATGCTCGTGTACCTATTCTTTTACTAAGAATTGTATTCTGATGTATTATTCCGTTTGTTTCGATGTGGGAAGCTCTGAAGAGTTCCTTTGCTAATGGCCCTTCTGGTTGATGTAGATATCTGCTGCATTATGTCCTAACATATGGATCACACGACAATGTTATGGTTGTCACGGGCTTATCTCTAGCTTTCTTGCTTGTTATGTTAGTTGGCATTGGTGAGTCTCCAAATTTCTCTATGCAACACTCTTAGAGTTACGTCGTTCAAAAAACACTCTTAGAGTTACTAGTAGATATTGATGATGTGGTTTATTTGAAATTGATAGGACGGATATATTTGGGCATGCACAGCTTGATTGATGTTATTGCTGGCATCTGTTTTGGCGTTGTAATCCTGGCATTCTGGTTGGCTGTCCATAATCATGTCGATGCTTTTGTTGTCTCCGGTCAAAATGGTATATCTATACGCCTCTGAGTTTTGTCTGATAGGTGAAATGTAATTTTGGAAGGCTTATTCTCGTTATCTTTTCCCTTGCAGTTACAACCTTCTGGGCGAGCCTTTCTCTGTTGCTGTGCTTCGCATATCCAAAACCAGAATTCCCAACTCCTAGCTTTGAATACCACACAGCATTCAATGGGGTGGCTTTTGGAATTGTAAGTTCTTGTTGACTAATGCCTGGGTAATCCAAAATTTTTAGTAGCTCCAAACTTGCTTGCATCATAGTGGATTCTGGTCACATTTAATATATTATCTACAATAAAGAACAAGACTTTTTAGGAAAGGCCTGCCCTTGAAACAGGATAAAACAGCACACTGTTTACCGCGTGAATTTCATTATCTAGAGAAGCAGCTCTGACACTGTTTCTTAACACTTTTCAGGTCTATGGAATCCAACAAACCTACTTCCATTTCCACAATCCTGATGTCCCCCTCATTTTCAGCCCACAATTACCGCTTATTGTATTTGTCGGGAGGGTTCTCGTGGGGATCCCAACCATCCTAGTTGTGAAATTCTGCAGTAAAGCTCTCTCGAAATGGCTTCTACCGGTGATGTGCAACACCCTGGGCATTCCTATTGTATCAACCTGCTATGTTCCAGCGCTGAAGGCTTCCGAAAAGTGCAAGGTCAAGTCCGACGCGAAGCAGGGCGGTTATCTCCAGAAGGTGTTCTCCCTCTTTCCACAGAAGGCGTACGATGTGGACACCGGCATAAGGTTCGTTCAGTACGCCAGCCTTGCATGGTCAGTGGTCGACCTGGTGCCGGCCATATTCACTCATTTAAGTTTGTAGTGAACACTGCAAGATGCATTCTACTTGGAGACTTGCAAAATCCCAAATGGGCTATTCCTACTCATGAGAGAGAGATAATCTTATGGGACTGTAAATCCGATGATCTCCACTTTATTTTTATTTTTGCGTGGTGTGTGTAGAGGTGTTTTGTCCATAGTAGCAACCAGGAAGTATTAACATGCTGTGAAATTTTGTTTCATGATGAAGACAGCGACCACCACGAACTCTGAAACTTAACTGCAAAGAAATGCCATTCCTTTTCTTGCATTGTATTGATGCAGGTTCTTTGTATCCATTTCACTTTCATGCCCATGTCATTATCTGCCAAACTAAGAGTCTAAGATCAACATCATCTTATGAAGAGACTGACTGATGTGTCCCTCTTTTTCTTCAAAGAAAAAATTAAAGAAAAATACAGAAACCAGTTAAGATCAGCAAGATGATGAAGAAATTGCAGTGTTTTGTCCCCCTCCCAAGTCTAAAGCCTGACGGTGAATAAACGACCAGTTTGTATGCTGCTGTTTTGTGCGATATCATCGCTGTGTGCTTGCGTTGTGCAGAATTGACAAAGCGAGTTGCTGGGCCGCCGGCGAGGCGAGAACGACGTGCACACTTCGCCTCCGGTTTTCTAGAACTCGAATTTCCCGCGGCGCTGGCGTTGGCGAGCGCACCAACCGCGCTGATGGCGACGAGAGAAACAACCTGCCACAGGAATCGAAGGCACAGAGGCTCTTTTTTTAAGCCTACATCAACCATCCATTGAGATATACAGTACACCTGAACATGCCTAAAAGAAATTCCTGAATGTTTGGGGGGAAAAGGCAAACACAATTTGCTACTAAACGCAAACATAAGTTACATAAAAAGGTGAAATCTCTTCTCTCTTTTTTATGGCCGGTTTGCTTGGTAAATTCATGAGTGTGTGACCGTGTGAAACATATTTGATAGTAGCGGCATCGTAGAGACCCCAAGGGAAGCGATATGTAAAACAAGATTAAAGAGTCAATCAGCAGTACAGTTTATTGCCTCGGTTGAATCGGGAACGCAATAGAACCTATCCCACACGACACAAATAATCCATCCACTGGCAATAATCCATGGCCTTCCTTATCAGCTGATAAGAGGTACTATTAACTTCATCCAACGGTTTCTTGGGGGGCAAAAATCATCACATCTTCAAGGAAAGAAAAATCGGAGCTCAAGTGTTGGTCACAAAGAATTCTAATACTTGTTTTTCAAGCAATTATGTACGGCAAATCAAGATGTACTCAGAAAGACCTACCGGCTCAACAGGGAGCCATACAACTACATTGTTCATCTCTACAAGGATCATGAAAAAAGAAAAAAGAAAATTAGGTGAAATTTGTGGGGAAGAAAGGCGAACAAAATGAATACAAAGAGAATAGTTTTCCTTTCATAATACAAATTTGCTACTTGATGCTTCGAGTCACCACTGCAGCCCCCAAGCCAAGCATCAGCCAATTAGAGATAAGTGAGAACACGATGAATCCTCCCAGCTGTAGGTATACACTTGAATCATGATGCAGCAAAGCAGCTCGCGATAGCCAAGCGCCACGGGCAAAGGTAGTAAGAATAACACACAGGAGATTCGAGGGGAAAAAAATATCTGCAACCAGGGAACTTCACCTAGCTATCAAACATTTGCTGCAGAGACAGTCCACCACTTTTACATCACAGGAAATAGTCAGGTGTTCTACGAGTTACATCTGGCTCTCCCCTTCTTGGGGCTGGCTCAAACTGCAGAATGAAACAACATATAGCTCATAAGGTGCAACAGAAAATAACCGTGGAGCCAGATCACAAAGGCATAAGCAAAATGGGAACCCAACACATAGAATGAGAGTTGCAAAAGCAGAACATGTACCAATCATGCATTCATGTTTCATTAGTCAAATACCTGTCACTGGGGACCATGAAGGGGCATGTTTCTTAATAGTCTTAGTTTGTTTCTATAAACCATGAAGGGGCATGTTTCTTAATAGTCTTAGTTTGTTTCTATAAACTAAAAGTCAATGAATGTTCAACCATTACCTGGATGAATGTATGCTCCCTGCAATCATCAACTTCCAAGATTGATGCCATGTTCCCACAGCGATAGCAATAATTAGGTGCACTAAATATGGTAACAACTTTTTGCTCCTGTTCAGTGTTTGCAAAATGTTAGTGAACCGGTATGGAAACCAAAAATACTGAGTTCAAGTAGAGATAATTACATGAGCCCAATTGAATCCCTCCATGACCAACTGGTGAGCTCTAGCAATAAGTCTTAAATTATTGGTATGGTTGAACTGCTCTGATATATCCTGAAATGATAGAATTGATAAGTCGATGAACATGAGGTGCACAGCTAAATATAGAGATTCTTTTTCTTATATAAAATGTTACCTGCCCGAAGGTGTATCCAGCACCTCGAGGAGAAATACCCCAACCACATCGATCGTCTGGATCAGACCACAGAAGATCACACATGGGCCCTTCATGGGGAACTTCTTGGACACGATCGAAGTTACGTATGTTATCAAGTGTCTCAATGGATGGCGATAATCCACCATGCAGGCAAAATATTTCTGACTCAACCTACAGAACAAATGAACAGCTTCTGTCAGATTCACTAGATAATGTGGGAAGGATGTTGGCATATACATATGAAAATGCTGAATACACACCAATGCTGTCAAGGGGAAGTAATCGAAGAGATCTGTAAAAGTTTTCCACACATTTGCATTCCCGTACCTGCAAGAAATACAGAAAAAAAAACGGTTCTTGTAAGCTTAATTCACCAAGAAAAGGGAGAATAAATTTCAGTCTCAAATTAAAAAGGTAATTGATATAATACAAGCAGCAGTGAAGTTTATTGTATGAAACAAATTGTTGAAAAATAGCCTAAATACCTTTTTACACATGATTCATCACTATATTTTTATCAGCACAAAATGGCCTTTTAGAACATTGCAGTAGGTTCATCTTATGTCTTAGTAACAATAGTTGCAAGTTGCAAACAACTATACACATGAATGATACAAATATCCTTAATGGTCAATGGACCAAGCTGACCCATCATAAAATTATATAGAAGTAAATTAGTTACTAATGGATCATATTATTTTACCACCGCTGTCATTTATCAGAACAAGACTAGATAAAAGCTTGCCTAGAACAAATTTACTTTAGTTACAACACATAACAAAAGGCACTTACTTCCTTAAGCACTCGTCATAGAATCCATAAACTTGAGTGATCTGCAAAATGATTCAAAAAGCATCATTCAGTTCATCAGTTGTGACTTGTGAGCATGTACAGTTGTACACAGAAAGGATAACAAAGAATGAAGAGATGCAACAAAAGCTTTAACTTTCATATAATGACAGTAAGCAAACATCAAGAATCTGCATTTTAAAAAAAGTACATACCTGTCGACTTTCGTGGTTTCCTCTGAGAATAGTAATTCGCTGAGGATAACGAACCTTTAAAGCCACCAAAAGCTGTTTTTGTAAAGGAATACATTAAAATCAAGAACTATTAATTTTAGAAGTATTTGTAAGTTAAATGTGCCCACCAAAACAAAATGATAATCAGCCATGTTGATGCTTAAACTACTCTTACCGTGACAGTTTCAACAGAATAATAACCACGATCCACGTAATCTCCCATAAACAAGTAGTTTGTATCTGGGCACTGGTAAAGTGAAGAGAAAGCATAAATATATTTGAAGTTTGATGGACTCAAGATATGCAAAGGGGACAACGAACAGGAAAATACAACTGATACCTTTCCACCGATTCGGAACAGTTCTGCAAGGTCATGAAACTGCCCATGAATATCACCACATATTGTAACAGGACTCTTTACAGGCTGCAGAAGCATGGCAAAGAAAATGTTAAATTATCAACAAAAGAATTCATAATTTATTATATGGGAGGCACATAACCATCTCAAGGAATCACTGTAAGTTAAAAGTATACAAAATAAAGCTGCTTTAACTTTCGTTTGCACGGCAGTTTCAAAACAAAACAAAACCTGTAAGGCTATACCATGCAACACATAATACAGAACAAAACCAAATATAAGTACTTCTGTCAATATTATGGATTTACATAAATTCAGAACAAGAAACTAGAATAAAATTTTCCGAGGAGACATGCATATACATGATCTGAAGACTAAATCCTTGTGTGGTTCAACCTGGGTTTCGTCTCAAGACTACCCCAACTTCCTCTAGATTACCCGCAACTTATTTTGCTATTGTTGTTCTATTCTTTAATTATTATATTTTGTAACCAAGTTTGATGTACAATTTAATTTTTTTTTCGTTTCTGGTTGACTTACAAAAGAATTTGATCCTAGATGAATATTTCTAGTGATCTGAGCAAAGATCCATGACAAATTTAAGAGATTAATGAAGTGTGATTGTTGCACTGCCAACATGAAATATTCATCCTTGTCAAAGACAAACCATGCTCATAGGTTCCCATTACTTCAAAGACTATAGAAGCTAATTCGTCAGTCAAATAGTACCATCATTTCATGCAAGTGATCCAAGAAAACAAGCTGGAGTATTGCACATTTAGACAAACTAAATTTTGGAAGTTTTCCATGCAAGGTATTGTAACAGATGACACCATCACAGCATAGAAGACTAGTCTGGTAGAGATGACCTTAGTCTCAAAAGCCATAAGAATATAAGATATTGTTGGCTTTTTCATTGAGTTTTCATGAGAAATAGATCTGATGTTTTCCCTTAACTATTACCACCTAAATTATACTGCGATGAACAAAAGCAGGCCCAAAAATGAGATCCTGGCTAATCCTAGCGAATCAAGAAAGACATCATAGAGCTGTAAAATATCATACTTGAACGTTGCTCTCCTCCATCAATATCTCTTTTGCCTTCTCGCAAAGTGCTCTGACCTGTACGAAAAATACTCAAGAATGAGAGCAAATCTATGGTGGCTCACTAATTAACCAGAAAGAATTTAATCGAGAGAGGTGTGAATTTGGCAAAAGGCATAAATCTATCGGTTTGGAAGACCAATAACACCCTAAACATTTTCCTGCCAAGACTCATTTTTTCTTTCACAATTCAACCAGCTGCCAAAATTCTGCCATTGACGACGAGCATCCAGAGAACATTGGCACTTCATGCAAAAGCCAGGGGCCTCAGACAGAAAATAATTTCGTCATCTCACCGCATCTAATCCTGTGAGATGCAAACCTCGTCGCTTTGCAACCCGGAGAGTAAACACACAGCGTTCGCTCCACCAAATCACAACAA